AAATGACATTGTCCTGCCAGACCTGGCGAGTCACTGTCTTTGACAGATTTCTCATCCCCGTGCATCATTTCACCCTCCCTCTGTCTGCTCCAATGTCCTCAGTCATGACTTGCTATCTCCTTTGGTTAGTCAATCCACACAGGGCCTGGTGAGAGTGACTGATCTATTCTCGAGATTTTTCCACTTTTCCTATTTCTTACAATTTACTGTGTTTACCTCCTGGCCTCAGGAAGGATTTCCTTGGAGACACAATGTTTATGTGAGAATCAGGTGCCTTGAAACACAGCACAGGCTCCCTGCACGAGCTACATTTCCAATGGGTCCAATTAATCCTCGCCCTTCAGCCAACTCCTTGACCGCCGCCTCCTAGAAGGCATTTTAAAGAAAGGACACACTGACAGCTAAACACTGGCTTACAAGGAGAAAATTGGAAAATTATTTTTCCAGTTTTATTGGGGGAGAGAGGAGTCAGGAAATGACTGACTCAAGAGTCCTGCAGACTCTGAAATAATTTATGTGCTGGCAAGGTAACCCATGTGCAGGTACGACTTGGCTCTCACACCGGCTTTTATTTGCATTTTTTCTGCCTCATCTTATTGTCTCCTATATCGTCCTTTCCTTTTTAATCCCTATGAATTTAGAAAAAGGGTCCTCATGAAGAGAAAACAATGCTAAAGGAAGTTATAGACGATGTAGTTTAATATGGCTATGTCCTAAAAGCACAAAAATCTGCCTCTATATGAGCCAAAAGGTAAGAGCCTGTGTGAGCACGGCTAGGGCACTGTTTTTTCTTCTGCTGCTGCCTGACAAAATTCTAACCTGTGTATGTTAACCATATAAAAGTTTTATTTCCTTCCGAGCCTCTGCTTTCTTTCCTGCCTCCCATCTGATCATTACTCTCTAGCTCCTGAACGGACAGCTCACTCGGGCCACCGGCTGCCCAGAATGCCCTTCTCAGGGATGACTGATGGCCGCAGACGTCCTCCTAGGGTCTCTAGGTTCACCCAGGAACTTTAAGAGGCCTAGATTTGTAGCCTGCACCAGGAGTCTATAATTTTTTTTCCCGTTGGGCTTCTAGATTCTTATCGATTTTCTTCTGTAACTTACTAGCTTCCTTTCAATTCCTATTTGTCTGAGTTGACTGTCTCCTCCCGTTTACCCCTCACAAGTTGCGTTGGTGAGTGAGAAATGGGAGGTGCAGAAGTCATACCTGGGAACTCATCTTCACCCCGACTGAAGAGGCATCCTAGGCTGCCTTTCTCAGGTGACAGTCACTGCTGTGGACTGTACGGAAAACCCTTTATTAGCTCTTCCAATAGGTAGGATGTGACTCTGAGTACTAATCGTTACTGACTGAAGGAGTGGGTGCACACAGAAGAATGTGACAGAGGATTCTGATAGACACAGCAATCACAACAGTTCCTTGAACTTTCAAAAGGAGAGAAGGGAACTGAGGCCACCAGAGGAGAGAAAGGGGGAGGGGGAGGGGGTGAGCGAGAAATTGCTACAGGGCCGCAAGGAATGATCACACTGTGTAATGAGAAATATACTAATTATCCTGATTTGAACATCCCCTAGTGCATACAGGTATTGATATTCAATGCTGTACCCCACAGATATGTACAATCAATTATGCTTCAATTAAAACAAAAATCAAACACAGAGAAGCAGCAATGTCTGTTTTTTCAAAGACTTCACCACACAAGCTTGAGTTTATAAACTCCAGACCACAATGCTCTCAATCGATGCTAATAAGCATCTCTGTTCCCAATCACTTGTTGATAGATTTTTAATAAAATGAGGTTCTAGTTCTTTTATTTCATATAGGTGATAAGAATAACCTTTCTTTCTTTTTTCTTTTTCTTTTTTTTTTTTTAACAACAATTCCCAAACATTTAAAAAGGCTTATCATCTTAAAACCCATACTTCAGAAATGGGAAAAAGTAAGTTATCTGTGTTACAAATGGATTCTTCAACTTACAAAATAGTTTAGTAGAACTTCTTTAAATGAAAAAATTCTTTCATGTGTTTCTAGACCAATTAATATTTTGATGAGAAGAAAGCTTCAACTAAATTTAATTTGACAAATCTTTATTGATTATTAATTTGCTATACTAGTAAATATAAAGTTATAATATTAAGATTTTCTTTCAGTGGAAAAATAAAATAAATGGAATTAAAGAAAACTACAAATTATAGTTTTTCAATTGGAGCATAATTTGAGTCACAAATATTTGACAGCTTCATCTTTCTAATAATATACTCATTGAATAATAAAAGATACACCGTATTGGAAAAAATTCTGAAATGTTCCTGCAAATAATTTCATTACATTAAATTTGATCATTTCCCCACCTGCATAAAATCCTCCAATGGCTTCCCCTTGATCTCAGGATAAAATTCAAATCTGGCTTCTAAGTACTGACGTGGGTGCTTTTCCACCTCCGTGGTCCTTTCCTAACCCAACAATTCAGCAGTATGGTGCTTAAAGTTCCCAAACCCACTGAGCGCCCTCCAGCCATGGTGGCTTTTTTTTTTTTTTCCTTTTTGTCTTTTTTCGTGTCCGGCAACGGACCACAACCCTCAGTGTCGCGCCCGTACCGGACCGGGACCGGCAACGGGATTGCAACCCTCGGTGCTGCGCCCGCCCCTCGCTCAGCCAGTGAGCGGGAACTGGTCTGTATGTGGGATCCGAACCCTCGGCGGGAGCGCTGCCGCACCCCCAAGCGGCGCACTGTAGCAGTGCGCCACCGGGCCGGCCCCATGGTGGCTTTTTATGTGTTGGCTCCCACTACCCTATTACAGCACTTAATCTGCAGAGCATTGCCCAGTGCCTGGAACAGAGGCATGCTGAATAATGTTGCTGACACACTGAATGGACGATGTAGACCCTCAAAATCTTTTACAGAGCTAAGGATCTGTTTCTGACTTGGAAAGGGCAGTGCTTAGCTGTTGTTTATTTAGCAGACAGAGTATTGCCATCCAAAGAATACTGGGCTAGGATTTGGGAGATTCCCAGCTTTTATCGTGAATTGGTTAATCATGGACTAATCATTTACTCTGTCTGGGTTCTTCATTTGCACAAACAGGAACTTGGCCGAATCATCTTGGTCTCCTCTTGCCCTAACTTCAGTGGTCTTTATCCTCCCCATCATTTTTGGTGGGGTTTAGTCCCATCCTTTAACCCAACCCACGAACATTCCTTATACACTCAGCCCTCTGTATCAGAGAGTTCCACATCCATGGATTTAACCAACTGAGGATCAAAAATATTCGGGGAAAAAACAATGAACAATAAAAATACCAATAAAAACCAACGGGGTATAACAACTATTTAGGTAGCATTTACATTGCATTAGGTATTATAAGTAGTCTAGAAATGATTTAAAGTATACGGGAAGATGTGCGTAGGTTATATGCAGATACTATGCCATTTTATACAAGGGGCTTGAGCATCCGTGGAGTTTGGTATCCTTGGGGGGTCCTGGATCCAATCCCCTTTGGACACCAAGGGATGACTATATTTCCTTTTGTAAGAAATTGTGTATGTGCTTATACCCAGCAAGCTGTGTAACTATCCGTGGGAACGCAGTTCAAAATGTAACCTTCCTTCTAGCCAAGGCTGAAAAGTAAACACAGATGGGCAACAGAGCAGCTCGAAAAATCTAGCGCTTTATTCATTAGGCCATCTGGTCATCCCCTACAGTAGCTTTCTGTACAGTCATTAGGAAAAGACACATTAGAAGCTATTAATTCACAGCTGAATTTGCTGGCTAAAGGTCTCCTTGTTAAAAGGCCAGGCACTGGTAGAATACTAAGTCTTTCTGAGTAGCATGTTGTTAATATCATCCATTTCCTTCTGTACTCCATGATCTAAGATCTGGATATTGATGTTTTGGGCAACTTGAAATGGTCGCATCTCTTTCTGTAGGTGTCTCGATTTCACCTTGCTAAGTGTGCCCTGGTATGGTTATAGTATCGTTACCAACAGATGCTAAAAAAGTGCAACTCAGCAGTGTAAAAGGAAACACCAAAGAAGCACCTCACTTGCATGCCCTGCTTATCTTGCGCAGTTTCTTCTGAATTTAATAACCACATGCCTTCTTGTTACTTTTTGATCACAGCTGTTTCATATGCTTGAAATTGTCCAACAAGGACCCAGAATAGACTCCCCTCTCAGATTCTCCACCTGCTGGTCAATCCCCAAGGATTCCTTGAGTCCAATTCACCAGCTGCTTTACCCACCTGCAACCCCACTGATGAGGGCTCCAGCAGATTCCTCTCCTTGTGTCCTGCCCTGCTTGCCAACTCCCAACTAGTTTCTGCATCCAACTTCTCCACCCTATGAAAACCCAGGCCAAGCCCATATCTGGGCTGAATCTACACGTTCTGAAATTCCACATCAAGTGGCCGTAGCCCCAGTCAGCAGAGCAGAAGAATGAAACAGACCATCTCTGGGCAGGAGGTTCCGATGGGACTTTACAAGGTGGGGGGCCTATTGGAACCCTTCCCTGAGTATCCCTCAGATATTTTCTTTACCTTTCCAATGAACACTTTCATTTGTTTTGCCAAGGGTGAAAAAAATTTACAGTTGAACTTTTGTTTCCTGTTTAACTTGTGATGAAAAAAAAAAAAAAAAAGAGCCCTACAAATTTAACTGTGGATAAAAATAGCTCCACTATCTTAAAGTCATTAAGTGAACATAAAAGGCTTTTTGTGATCTCTGGGTATCTGCAACCTGGCATCTGTCACCATTCCTCCACCCTCATCCAGAGGCGAGGGCATCCAGAACAAGGATCCCATGCTTAATGGCACCTTAAGAATAAGTGCTCCCAGGTGCCCACCAAACCTGTCACTCGCAGCAGCTGTTGCTAAGTGACGACTTGCCCCTCCACGCTCGGTTGCTTTTTGTACATACAGGCCTGCAGCCTTGTGCCAGGAGAGTCTTCCCAGGCTGCATGTGCGACGCCACTGCTGTGAGAACCTCAAGTCACCCTCACCTGGCCTTGCTGTGCCCGTTCCAGCATTCCTCTTCGTTGGACGTGCCCGCTGTCACGCTCTCATCCTTGCAGATGGAGTAGGGTAGTGCCGACCAGACCTTTTTCGACAGCTTCAATTTCTCTTTTATGTCTGTGACCTGATCGAGAAAGCAAGGAAAGCGAGTGAATATTCTCCTTGGGCTTGGCCCGTTTCTACACAAGGACGTAACGCAGGTGAAGGTTACAGAACCTGTGATGTGCTGAGCACCAACTCTTTATTGGTTTTAACTGAGAGACACTGCCCTGCAGGGTTTATTGCCCAGGAAAGCCTCTCTTCCTCTTGCCTCAATCCTCCTCGGACTCTGGCAGAGGGTTCTGAGGTAATTGGCTTTTTGTTTTCCATCTTTTCCATCCTTCCACCCTTTGAGTTAACAACTTATGAAGCATCTCTCCTGGCTTTGGGTCCCTTTCCTGCTGAGAGTCCCTATTGCAAATGCCCTAAGTATATTCTTTAGAATTCATTTGCCTGGATGTCAGATAAATGCACCAAAATAACGCACCGAGAGATAAAACACTTTCCCAATGGATTACTTGTTTCTGCAAGAAATAAATATGCTCACTAATTCAGCTGCTGGTAACCTCTGCTGTAGTATAATTGACAGGCCCATACAGCACACACTTGGAGGGTGAGCAGTAAACCAAACCCGCTTAAAAATCTCTAGCACCAAAAGAGAAAAGTCATTCTAAATATCAGTAAGTGTAAAGTTTACAACCCTGTGGACAGATGGCGAGAAGTACCAGCATCCTTAGTGTTTTCAGGCTCAGCACTGACTTCTCTCATGTGGAAAGGGTACAGGGAGGAATTCAATACCACTTTGGCTCCACAATGAACATCCGTGATCATGCATGATCATGCAGTCACAGCCCCGATTACCTATTCTGTCTATGTAAACACTGGGAGAGTACATGGATGGTTGAAATTCATCTGTTATGGGTTGAATTGTTTTCACCCAGATGCATATGCTCAAGTCCTAACCTTCAGATCTTTAGAAAGTGACCTTATTTTAAGATTAGGCCTTCACGGAGATAAGGAAGTGACAGGTTATTGGAGTAGGCCCTAATCCAACATGACTGGTGTCCTTATACGAGGGTACTGCAAAAAGTCCATGGAAAGATTCACATCACCTTTTCTCTTTTTCCATGAACTTTCTGAAGTACCCTTGTAAAAAGGGGAAATGTGGACACAGAACTATGCATAGAGGGAGGACTATGAAGAAGATGTCGGTCTACAAGCCAAGGAGGGAGGCCCGGACGGATCCTTCCCTCACAGCCTTCAGGAGCAACCAACCCTGCTGACACCTGGATTTCAGACTTGGAGCCATCAGAACTGTGATATGTTACATTTGTGTTGTTCTAAGCCACTCAGTTTGTGATACTTTGTTACATAGCCCTAACAAACAAATACAGATGCAAAAAACACTGGGTGAACATTTTTTGGCAAACAGGGTATTACAGAATCCCAAAGTACCTCCCATGGATTACTTGTTAATTACAAAAGGAAAACCGGTAGTTTTACAGTGCAGAAACTTGGTGGGCCTCCCCCTTAACCAAGTGATCGAAGTCATGGGACAAATTGGTATTGTGAACCTCCTGATGTGGTGGGCCAGGAAGGACACATCCCTTAGGCAGCCACAAATTCATAACTTGAATCTAATCGGGAGGACATATCAGACAAATTCAAACTGAGGGACTCTCTAAAAACAGCTGGCCTGTACTCCTCAAGAATGTCAGTCATAAAAGACAAAAAATAAAAAAGGCCAAAAAGTTCTTCCAGATTAAGAATAAGAGATGTGACATCCAAGTGCAGCATGTGATTCTGGATTAAATGCTAGTTCATAAAAATAATCGCCATAAAGGACAGTATTGAGATAGTGGGCAAAATTTGTATACTGACTTTCTATTAGATAATAGTATTGTATCCACATTAAATTTCCTGAATATGAAATCATACCGTGGCAATGTAGGAGAAAGTCGTGTTCTTAGGAGACACAAGCTGAAGTATTTAGAATTAAAGGGGTAGGATTTCCACAACTTACTCTATAATGGTTCAATAATAATAAATAATAATCACCTACATGTATAGAAAAAGAGAGGGAGAAAGTGAATGTGGCAAGTTTTTATTAATTGTTGAATTTAAATAGAGAGTATACAGTTTTTCAAAAAATGCAATTTTTCATAAGTTAGAATTTTTTTCAAAATAAATGTGAGAAAAAAATCTCATATATTATTTGTCTGCATGGCATCCACTTTGGTGTCCCTAAAAGCTGCTTATTTTCATCCTTCTCAACACAAACCCCAGAGGGGAAAAATGAGCAGTACATGTTCATGTCTAGTCCAAGAAACAATCACCATACTCAGGACTGAAATACTGTCAGGTTCATTCTGTCTCAAAATAAAGCACAGCACTTTCATACTGTGGGAATCTAAACCAGATATACATATGTTGACACTCAGAGAAAAAAAAATTCCTTGATGTCCCACAGCTATTTCCTCTTTAAATATTTGCAAAATTTAACTGTAAATGATGGGCTACTCACTCTTTAAATCAAAGTCAAGCATCATCTCCTTCAAGGCACATTCTCTTGTCCCCAGGTTAGATTTAGGTTAAACTTTCTGAGTGGTACAGTGCCCTGTTGATGACTCTGAAGTACTGATCAATCCAAATTCTAATAATTGGCATACTTTTCTCATTCTCTTTTAGACTATGTGCTTTTTGATGGCAAGGATAGGTGGTAATTTGTTTTTATCTTCAGTGCTTAGTATGGGTTTGGTGACTCATCATCCCACATTGTCTGGAACTTATGGGATTCCAGGATGCTGAATTACCAATGCTACACCCGGAAAGTCCCTGGTAAACTAGGATAAGTCAGTCATACAAGTCTTAGCACACAGTAGGTGCTCAACAAATGTTGAGTGGGATAATGGGATTAGTTGTGCCATTCTGTTATGAAGTCATAGACAATATTACTAATACTAAATAGATGGGATCACAATAATGTGTGTTCTTCATCCCAAAAAGTGTGGGAGGAGACTATGGAGTTGTATTTGGCTAAGCAAGGAGCCCTTCATGATGACGGGCATGTGGATCTTCTCTGATTGTTCACCGCAGCACGTTTTATAATCAGGACATGTTCACTCTGGCATTTCAGTAGCTGTACATTTTCATTGTGCAATTGAAGGAGATAACAGCAAAGGAGCAGTGAGAAATGTAAATGCTATTTTAACATTCTGCACAGAAACATTGGCCAATTCACCTCCAGACTGTGACGGTGAGGCCAACAGTTGGAAAAATGGACACTCTTAGCCCCTGGAAAAGAACATGCCTTTGATTCCAATGTATGTCTGAATGATTGCAGTTTATTTTTCAGTATTTGAAAAGCTTTTCAATTCTTATGCCACTTAGAAATATTTTTTCACTTATTTATTTTTTTAAATTTCTGAATAATATGTGTCACTGCTTTTCTGTAGCTCTAGACCTGAAGGTTTTTGGTTTTTTTTCCTGGAAACTTAAGTGCAGAGCTGTGAGCTTAGCTTTATGTTAACAAGTACTCTTAGTACAAACATAGCACTGACAGTAACAGTGAGCCCTAATTCATTAATAACACAAACCCGATGGGAACAAAGACCTGGGGTTAAATACAAAATTTATAACACTTTCCTTTGTCTGCTTCCCAACAGAGCTATTCTAAGACAAGTTAACTCTGACCGATACTTGCAAGTGGTATTTACCATTGGCTTAATACTATGTTAGTAATATTGTAATATTAGTAATACCTAAGTATTAATTCTTTTTTCATCGATGCCATTGATAGGCTCTGAAAGTTAAACAACTGCTGTTACGTCACAGGCATCTGATCTAAATATATACTGTTGGGGTTCACAGGGAAAACACGAGCTTTCTTTTAGGACTTATCAAGAGTTTGTTCTGATTTCTGACAATTTCAGCTACTGGCTTCAGTAGAGACATATGATGTCAGTGTAAAGCCTGCCAAACGGTTCATACATACTTGGCTCTATAGGAAGGTAGCAGCACCACTCATACCTACCCGTGCACAACTGTAAGATTAGACACAAGAGGGAGAAAGTTGATGAGGTGTCATGATTGCTAAACACAAAGAGATGAGCGAAAACAAAGAGCAGAAAGAAGGACCATCCAAGCACTTTTATCTGAAAACTTCACTCAAGTAATCTTGTCCCAAATATCTAATCTGAATCTCAAGTTTTTGACTTAACAACTTGCAGTTTACAGGAAATAACACCATAAATAAATGATCAGACACATCCAGTGAATGAGATATTATACAGGACAACTGGCATCAACTCTTCAAAGGACGGCAAGTAAATCAATCCATCAATCAATCAATCAATCAATTGATAAAGGCAGGAAGACTTCTAGATGAAAAGAAACTCCAAAAACATAACAACCAAATGCTAAGTGTAGACTTTAACTAATCCTGGATTTGGAGTTAGCGACCCAGCTATAAGAGAAAGTTTTGAGATAATTGGGGAATTTTGACTACAGAATAGATAGTAGTTGATATTACTGAGTTACTCTTAACTTTCTTACATGTGATTAGAATATTGTGGCTGCATAGGAGACAGTCCTTGCTTTTAGGAGATTCATGCTGAGATACTTACGGATAAAGTGTCATTATGTCTTTTACTTACTTAAAAATAGCAAAGAAGTCAACCATTATCACTTCTGTGCAAGGGATATATAAATGTTAATTTTACTACTTTTTCAACCATTTTAGTATTATTTGAAAAAGGTTAAAATAATGAAAATTTGGGGAAAAAATAAGACTGTCGTCAAGGTACATAGCTTTCAAGATCCCTGCTGGATTTAGCCTAGAGCCAGTAATTGATTCAAAGTAATGGGAGCCACCTTTGAGCTTTCAGTGAGTGAAGGCTCTCATTCAGTCTTCACAATTCTCTGCTAGAAAATGATCATTATACTCTTTGTGCAACTGGGAAACATGGGCTTAGAGAGCTAAGAAACTTGTCACACATCTAGTAAGTGCCGGAGATGAGATTAAGATTCAAATGTAGATTTTGGAATCATTCCTCTTAGCAACTAGGCTTAATAGGGTCATTGCTT